AATGATAAAGATCCTAACCTCCGCCAACCAACCACCAATAATATAACCAAGCACTTTGGTCATCTGGATCTGTATAAAATGCTGACTTGACCAGATCAAATTCTTTTCAAATTATTTTTATAAATTAATCAATATATATATATGTATATACCAATAATAATGTTAATTATTACTAATCAATTATTACCTTTATCAATAAATGTTTTGATTTCTTCTGAATTGTAATTCCTTTCTTCAATCAAAAGTGGTAAAAGCTTGCTTCTCTGATGCCATGCTGAGTAATTGGAAAAATTTTGATTTATTTTCACTGTGGTAAAATCAAATTCTGATTCGATGATTGACTTGGAATCATCAACTGTAGATGATAATTTTGATGTGACGTATCTTCTATAATCCCATCCATGAACTATTCAAACATGTATTATATTAAATATTAGATGATATTATTATTATCACTGAGTGGTGACGATAATGATGGTGGCGGTGTTGATGGTGATGACGATGGTGGTGATGTTTTTGCGATATCTTTTGTAATGGTAATGACCGTGGCTTCAGGTTTGGGAGTAAACCCAGGGATAGAATTTTTTCTTTCTAATGACACCGTGAAAGATTTATAATTTTTTTTAGTTTATGAATTATTGATTATCTTTTTAGTTTTATAATAATATATAACTATTATATATTAACTATTAATATTTAGGTAAAAATGTTAATGAAAAAACATTTTTTTTTTTAGGAAAAAGTTCAGAAATAAATCTTTTTGGAAATTGATAAAATCAAATGACGACGGTATATTAATTAACCTATTTATGAATAAATAATTCTTTCTTACTTAAATTGGGTTTTCTATATAATATATATATACGTGTGCATCAATTTTTTTTAACCAAAAATTTATAGTTATATTGTTTTATTGTATTTTTGTTTATATTATATTTATATTATAATTTTATTTGTGAAATGTTTCTATTTTTTTACTAAGCAAAAATAAAAAAGTATAATAATGATGTTTTCTAAAGTTCAACAGTAAACTCGCAAGGTAGTTCATGTGAAAAATTTTTCTACTCGAAAATTAAATTTCACTTCTTTAAATAAGATTTCTGAAAAAATAAATAATTATGATCAATCAGTCTATTTATACATATGTATAAGTCTCCCATACATTCATTACATTCATTTTTTTAAAAAAATATGGATAATTTTTGGTTAGATTAATATTTAAATGATATATCAAGAATTGTTGATGAACCTTAAAATTCTATTTGTCAACCAACACAACATTTATGCAATTTTACATAGAGAGGGGGATTCATTATTATTCAGAGTATTTTGCCATAACTTTAAATTCATTGTTACACTCATCCCAAATTTGTAATAGACGTAATTTTTTAAAAGTATCTTATTTAATTGGTTTATTTCTTATTATTTTTTGTTTTTATTTATATCTTGCAAAATGGGTAATTTGACACATTTTAATATATATTCATGCATATCTCAAAATCAAAATCCCATGCTAAATAAATGGCTAGAATTAGATCAAATCAAATACATAACGGGAAATTCCTTCTTTACACCACCACCATATTTTAATTCAAACTCTCAAATAATAATAACATTATAACATTACAGGAAACCTCTTCCACCATCTTTGACAAACAAACAAATCTTAATATTGATAGCATACATATATAATCTTTTAATAATAAATACCCTCATCATCATCATCATCATCATCGCCTAATATACCAATTGCTGGATTTTTTTATCGATTTCTGTTTTTCAACCAAATTTTTTTTCCCTGATCTGTTCTCATTATCTTCAATTACATCCATTGACAAAAGATATTTTTCAAGATCTAACAATAAATCAAGCAATAATCAATTGATTGGATCGATTAGATATAATAGTATTATTGGTGCATACCTTCTAATTTCATACTAACGTTGATAATCTAACCAATCGTTGTGCTAAATTTTCATTATAATTAACAAAATAGGTAAATTTTTATCAGGATAATTTGGTATGGATTGATCCCCAATTATTCTAAAAACTTGGTTGATTTATGTTAAATCATCGAAATATATTTAATGATTTACATTCTACAATCCTAAAAAATAAATTTGAACTTTATTTCTCCATTGTGTTAAATAATTGTAATTATTATTCACGGATCTTTAAGATAAATGTGCAACAACTGGTGCTTCTTTGGTAGTTTCCATAACCTCTTTAACCAAATCTGGTTTAGGATTTGAAAATTTTCCACGGGTTGTTTCAGCTTTCATTTCAGCTATCCTCCCTTACTAAGTCAAATTTTTTAAAATAACATTAACAATAATAATAATAATAATAATAATATTATTATTATTATTATTAATTGTAATTTCAATTCATTCGTCCTAATACTACTAGCTACTTTTCTTTGTTTGGAATTTACCGGTGTTCCATTAAGATTCTAATTCGTCAAGTTCCTCTAGAATTTTATCTTCTAAATGTTTATCATGTTTATCTTCTTATCAAGTTCCTCAGAAATTTCTTATTCCATTGGCCCTTAATTATAACACGAGCACGTAAAAGGTCATTTCTATTTCACACAATTATAGCCACTAACTTATTTGTTAATAAATTTTGTAAAAAAATATTTGATGTGAAGAAAATTATTCCCGAATTTGTATCCCAATTTTTTTTAAATAGTAATAATGATAATGATCAAATAATTCTTTTATTGTTATACGACCTACTAAAACAAATATAATCTAT